GTTTCTGAGCCAACATTTTGGTTGCTAAGCAAGAGAGTTGTTAAGTGAGTTTCACCATATTTTACAAGTTGGTCACGCCCACCCAGTAACATGGCCGGCAAGCCACTCCCACCCGGTCACATGGCTGGCAAACCACTCCCACAAAGCAGACCACACCTACAGAAGAGGTTCTAAAAAAATTGAAACCCACCACTGAGGTGCTTCCTTATTTATCCCCAAGCTCACCTGTTCTATGCCTGTCTTTCCACAGCGCAATGAGGCTGCAACCTACCCCCATCCTGCCCATTTTGGCAACACTTTCCGCTCGGTGCTGCTCACCTTTGTGTCACTGGCCTGTGTGGCCGGCATCGTCATTGCTGCTGTTGTGGTCTTCTGTCTGCGCCAGCATGCCAAGCAGCGGGAGAAAGAGCGGTTGGCAGGGCTGGGGCCAGAGGGAGCGACCGACAGCACCTATGAATACCAGGTACCAGTGGGATTGACGGCAGGGGAGAACTCTGACATCCCTGAGTCTGCCAAGACCACGCGATATGGAGCACCATTCTTCACCAGAAATCATAGGCTGGGATGCCCAGCACCTTCCATTTAGTTACTGAAGCCTTTTTTTGGAGTTCCTCCAAAATTGTGCGAGATTGCACAAGGGCACAAGGGCCCCAAAGGGCCCCAGCTTAGCATAATATGCAGCGGTAGCCACGAAGGCTTTAACTGGTGTGATTAAGAGTGTTGGGCAAGCACATTCCTAAAACTGAAAGGCTCCAGCCTCTCGTTGAGTGCCAGAATACAAATGCAAGCTTCCTGGACAGATGGCTGCTAGGCATGGCTCCTAGCTCCTTGGGGAGGATTGGACTGAGGTGAACTCAGTTATATCTTTATTTTCCTAGTGCTTTTGCATCTCTTGAGTGGAAGAATTAAGGATATTTGGATGGTTGGAATGCTTTTGGCTCTGTCAAAGTCTCTGCTTTTCCTACCTTTTGTCTGCTCTGAGTGACCACTGTGCATGGTTGTTGTAGCTGGGTCCTCTTTCCCACAGGAGCTCTGCCGACAGCACATGGCTACCAAGTCCCTCTTTGGCCGTGCAGAAACCCCTCCACCCCCTGCTCCTGCCGAAAATTCTCGCGTCAGCAGTGTCTCCTCACAATTCAGCGATGCACCCCAGGCCAGTCCCAGCTCCCACAGCAGCACACCATCTTGGTGTGAAGAGCCTGTGCAGTCCAACATGGATATCTCCACTGGGCACATGATTCTGGTGAGGAGCACCCACACCCTACATATTTGTGCTGTTTGGACAGCTTGACGGGGTTTGCAAGCTTGCCAGATAGAGCTTTACAGAAGGCATAGATACTAGGTGTCATTTTTTGAAATGAAACACCAAATGGCCCCACTTAATCAACCACAGCTGACCTCAAAAGCTAAACAAGATTGGATCTGAGGATAGATTTGATTGGAGACCATGAGGGAATTCTAGAGAGAGGAGACGATGGCCAGAGCAAAATAGTTCCATATTGCTGCCTGGTGATTGCATAGTTGTATACGTGAGATCATCAGGAATTAAATTTGACTTTCAGAGGCTTTACTTATTTCCTTTTTTAAAAATGAAATTAAAACCTGGTAAGTAAACTTATAGTCAAGTCAACATGGCTGGCTGGGGAATTCTGGGAGTTGAAGCGCAAACATCTTAAAGATGGTGAGTTAAAAAACAGTGCTCTAGATTTTGACAGCAATGTGACAGTCATAAGATGTATTGAGATTGTCGATTCTGAGACTTGAAGGTATCAAGTCAGAGAATGCTTTCAATAGATCTTAGTAATCTCTTTGGAGGGAGGGAGAAGGAGAGGTATATTTTTAAGTCCAGGATGTGACAACTGTTCTGTTGCCCCCACAGGCATATATGGAGGACCATCTACGTAATCGTGATAGGCTGGCTAAAGAGTGGCAAGCACTGTGTGCATACCAAGCAGAACCAAACACTTGTGATGCTGCCCAGCGTGAAGCCAATGTCAAGAAGAACCGCAACCCAGATTATGTGCCCTGTGAGTCCTTACTAGCACTGCCTGTGGGCACTAAGGGATGTGATTGTCCCATTTTATTCCTGCTCCTTGCTAGCTTAGCAGAAGGCTTGGAGTGTAGCCAGTGCATGGTTCTACTGCGGTGGCTATCGGTCCACGCTTAACTGGGCATTGGGGAGGGAAGTGAAGCAAGACTATGGTGTATCGGACACCAGTATAAAAAGGGCAGTACATTAAGTGAGTAGGGTCATATCAAAGAGCAGATAGAGGCATATTTTCTGACATTCTTTGACTTGGGGTGGGTTGTTTTTTCCCCTTAAATATATTCAACCTATTTAAAGGGTAATAATGCTCTTTTCATAAGCTTCCAATCTACAAATAGAGGGAAGCCGCAGCCTGATTTTTTTAAAGAAATCCCAACCCAGAAATTCAATCTTATTTTGGAAAGAATTTGCAAATCACATGCAATTCTAGGGTTATGGATTCCCTACCGCTAGTCTAGAGATGCATCAGCAATTCAGTGTTGGGGAGATGGCACTGTAGCTTCACATGAATTCCAGCTTCCTGCTACTCCGGCCAGACTAGACCATCAGCTCCTTGTTTCTTTTTCTATTGTTCCCAGATGATCACACACGCATCAAGTTGAAAATGGAATGCAACCCATCGCGGAGTGACTTCATTAATGCCAGCCCCATTGTGAGTGACAGACACCCATGTTCCTCCCCTTGCTATTGCACTCCATATCCAAGCAAATGCTGCCTCACTGGACCATTTTTAAGAGGCTGCCTGTGCCACCTTTCTCACCAAGTTGAAGAGCAGCCATTGCTCAGCTAGAAAGGACACTCCCAAAGCCCCCTCAGCCCTGCCACTTTGGATTAAATGTGCCACATCATTTTTTTTGAAGGTGTAATGCCATCTGTTCTTCAGCCATCAGCTCTACCTTCTGTTCCCAGGATGTATTTGTTAGCCAGGCCTCAAAATTGTCTCTCACCTGCCTTTTAGAAGCAGATAGACTTTCTCACTTCTTGGTGTGAAGTCTTGCGGTTCCCAATTGGACAACTGTTCCATTAAGCTAGTCTCTCCTTTTTCAATCTGTCTGCATATTTTCTCACTTTAGAAAGATATTCTGTGTCTCATTCTTCCTACTTTCCATCAAGGATATAATATTTAAACAATGTCTCTCTAAAAGCAGTGTTCTGTTAAGGGCAATAGGTGGGTGCTATAGGACAGCATCTTTTTCTCTGGATGTGATGTTTTTCTCTCTCTTTATCCTCTCCAAGCTGGCCATGATTATTTATTCTTCAGTCTAATTCATTCAAGTTCATCTTGATCATCTAGTTTGCTGCTTGCGGATAATTTAACTGTAAAATACCATTTCATAGTAATACATTGCACTTCTAATAAAGTCAAGTTTGATTGCTCTGTGAATCCATTGCAGTATCTTTATCCAGAATGAGCAAAATCAAATAACTTGTTGTGGTCCACCAGATTCAGACAGTGAGGAGGTTGGGNTCTTGAATGCATTCAATAAACCTTTCTGTTCTGGAAAAGGTGTCGTCTCCTATTCTTACGTAAGTAGAAAGGCAGACCCTGATTTTGCCATTACACTTGCTTTGCTCACGTGTGGCACTTCTGTGCATGCGCAGAGCATCTGTGATGACATCTGGGCAGGTGGGCAGAGCTTCCTGCCGCCACTACTGCCGATTCACCCAAACCGGAATGAACTGGCTGAATACCACCTCTGCTGCTCTCCCTGACTTAATGCAACACTTGATGTTACTCTCTTCTTTGGAATGTAGTTGTGGTGGCCCAAAGCAGACAGTGCGACATATTGTGGAATCCTACCCTATGAATGCATATCAGGGACTTTCAGTATGCAACTCCATCATGTATCTACTACATAAAGAATTAGTATTTGTAAATAGAGTAAGTAGTTTCATATTTGCTAATTTGAGAATGTAATTGTAATGTGCTTTTTAACATTTTTGTCACACACTAAATAAATAAACTGGTGGGTAGATTTGCACTGGAAATGGGGTATTATATATAACACCCTTTATTTCTGCTAAAACGTTAGTCCCTCTCCTTGCTTGATGTATTTTGGATTGCTGCCTGAATCGCATTTTCAAGCTGTTTTATAGAGGATGAATAGTTGAGTTGTGAGCTTCTCGGCAAGGAAAAAGAAAAGCAAATTTTGGCCAGTCTGCAATCTGTGGTCACATCACACTCTCAATCCCATTTTGGCAGCCTAAAGAATCCCTTCAGGTCACACTGCTGATATGTGGTGCCAAATCAGCCATTTTCACACTAATTTCATAAATAAAATGAGGGCCAAAATCAGTGTTAACTTTACCTCAAACAAATGTGCACTTTGCATAACATGCTTAACTTGGTTACTGAATTGAGCTACATTCCAATTTTGTCTTGCACACCCAAATGGGTTGGATTTCTACACTATGCTAAGATGCCAAAAAACAAATAAACCCTAACCTGGGTTAAAAGTTACCCAGTTTGCATGTTTCAGAAATTTAGTTGCCAGGTCTTTAATTGACTTGGTTATGTGTGTTGTGTGAACACAGCTCTTAGCTATCCTCAGTTCTTTCCCTGCGTGTGATTAAGCATAAAAACAAATAATTTCTCTAGGAATGCAAAAGCAGAGCTGTGAAGGACATTAAAACAATGAGAGCCAGTACCTTGACTCCAGTCCAGCTGCTAATGGAAAGCCAGAAAAACTGACAAGCTTGTGCTCCCATCATATCTCCTTCACTTTAAAAACTGAAGACTAGCAAAATACTAGGTTTCTTTCATACGCATTCTCAGCATTGGCAGCATACTTCTCTGCTTGGAAGAACATTTGATTCAACTGTTATCCTTTAAAGTAGGAAATACTGGAGCCAATTAGAGGTTTCAACATATCTAGTGAAAAATGAATAAATTGATTTTATAGGTTTTGACTAATCAACAAACATAAATAAAAATAAACTCTACAACTGGAATATTTTGTTCTATTAAAAATTAGCTTAAACACAGTCATTGCAGTTACAGCCAGGATAATAGGACTTGATATCTCATCTGTGTGTCTGTCTGTCTATCTATCATCATCATAATCTATCTGTCTGTCTATCATCATCATAATCTATCTGTCTGTCTATCATCTATGCCTGCCTGCCTGCCTGCCTGCCTGCCTGCCTGCCTGCCTGCCTGCCTGCCTGCCT